GTAGTAGTAGTAGTAGTGGTAGTAGTGCTAGTAGTAGTAGTAGTAGTAGTAGTAGTAGTAGTAGTAGTGGTAGTAGTGGTGGTAGTAGCAGTAGTAGCAGTAGTAGCAGTAGTAATAGTAGTAGTAGTCGTCGTAGTAGTAGTAGTAGTCGTCGTCGTCGTCGTCGTAGTAGTAGTAGTAGTAGTAAGTAGTAGCAGGGAGTGGGAGTAGGGGTCAGTAGGAGTAGGGGTCGTAGTTGCAGCAGTAGGAGCAGTAGTAGTAATAGCAGCACAGGAACCCGAAGTACTTGTCTTAGTGTTATGTCGGCAGGTTGACAGTACTTGGCGCCACCAGTGGCGACACAGGGGGGGCCGCCATCTACGGGATGCGAGGGAAGGCCAATCAAGTGGGTTGCTTTAGTGTTCTTGGGTCTTTGACAAAAAGGTGGTTCGTTTGGGTCTCCTAAGCCCTACGGGGCGTCATGGAGTTCAGGGTTCAGGGCCGGGATTTAATTTGGGGTGCTGGATTCAGGGTGTTGGGTCCAGGAACTGGCGTTTGGGGTTTGGGGCAAGCAGACTGTCGGAGCTGCGGGTTGCAAGCACAGAGTCACGTTTGGGCTAGGTGCTGTGAACTGTTGGTTGCAGTAGCTGTCGACTTCTTCCGAACAACGAACAAGAGGTGCCGGTCTAGATTTGTGGTGGTTTCTGAGCAACACGAGGTCGTCCGAAGCCCAAATCCCGAAACCATGGCTTGTTCATAGGACTGTTGTGCTTGCTTCGATTGAAAAAGCCCACTGCCCAACTGGAAGCATCCTTTGGGATCTCATCAGCTCGCATAGTTTTGGAGTGCAGGGTCTCATGTGTGGCCCCACCCTGTTCTATCATCCTCTTAGCATCTGCTGTTGTGGTTGCAACCGAAAGCTGTTTTGTGCGGTCGTTGGTCTTCTTCCCCTGAAGGTTTAGGGCTTAAGGTTTAGGGCTAGGGCATCAACAACAACCGTACGGTTGCTGGGAATTGGTTGCGCAGGGTGAAGGTCCTGCTCAATCTGCTTCGCACCCTAAACCCCTGGAGCCCTAAACCCTGGTCCGGCTGAAGGCTTGAACATGAAGTTGTCAAACCTTTAGGGTTTAGGGTTTAAGGTTTAGGGTTTAGGGTTTAGGCTAAACCCCAGACCCTAGACTCTTATAGAATGCTCGCCGATAACTATTTATGAGCCCTAGATTCCTAGGGTTTTTGAGCGCAGGAGAACGTGGACTGTTTCATTCTGTTCCCCGAAGGACGGGCTCGAAACTCAGGAGCAACATCGGGTGGAAGTGCAGAGTTGCAGGTTCAGGGTTCTAGTATAGGCGTATCCCCCTCTGGTTCCTTTATGCAAATACTCTTGAATTTAATATATCCCAAACCCTATTCCCATTATTGAGGCCTCTATGGCATATAAGGTGTTCGATGCGAGTTCACGAAGGGTCCGATCAGGGCTTGAAGGATCGGGCGCCTACTTGCGTGTGTTTTCTCACAAGTAGGAGCCTTATTGTACAAGGCTGGGGTGTCCTGAAAGTGAAGATCCGTCTTTGTTGGGTCAATAATAGGGATGCCGGCTAGAGGGTTTCGGGGTTGGGGTTTGAGGGTTGAGGGTTTGGGTATATGTGTAATGCAATTGCCTTTTGCATCTAGCTTAATTTCAAATGTCTCTGACAACATCTGCATCAGGGGTACCTCAGGGTCATCGCATTTCGGAGTAGGTTTCGACTTTGGGTAGTTTGGGGTTCGAGAGGGAGTAGAGGGCGTTTTGTCAGGTTTAGGGCCAGTGTAAGGTAGAAGCCGGAACAACTGCCAATATGATTCCTTAGTGTTGCTATTTACAGTTGTAGTATCACATGCCCCAAAACGGAATTCTAATAGACCCCAAACCCTAAACCTTAAACCCTAAACCCTAAACCGTGTATTTAGATCACCCGTCTGGGGTATCGGATCTCTCGCTGTGCCACGAGGCTATCAACTGAGCGTACAGGGCTACAGGATTTGCCGGCACAACCCTGGAATCCCCCAGGTGCCTATATGGTAGGTTACTGTCCCTTTGAACCCATGGTATAGAAACGCACTCTGAGGGGGTTCTTAGTTTGGGAGGGGGGAGGGAGGTCTTTATTCGAGGAGGCTCGCAGCCAGCGTTTCGAAGCTTTTCCAGCTGCGGGCAAGGACCCCTAAAACCAAATAACCCTCTTAGTCAGGCACGCAAGGTTTGGGTTTAGGGCCCACGATTCTCTCTTTAACAGCACTGAATAACGTGTAGCTCTAGGCCCCTAACCTACCCTAAACCCCCAATCCCCTAAACCCTAACCCCAAACCCCTAAACCCCAAAACCCCCTAAACCCTAGACCCCTAAACCCCTAAACCCCAAACCCAAAAACACCACGCGAACCCAGGTCTCCCACATTCAGCAGCAGCAGATGACCAGCGTGATGGTGCCCTGCCAGCCGACACCGGAGGGCCTAATATAGGGGCCTCAATAATGACCTATATTATTTTGGGGGTCTTAAGTATTATCAGTATAATATACCCTAAACCCTAAACCCTAAACCCTAAACCCTAAACCCTAAACCCTAAACCCTAAACCCTAAACACCCCAAAACCCTATTCTCATTATTAAGGCCTCTAGACAACGTGGGGTTTTTATTCTTGGGCTCTTGCGGTCTTGTGGGGTTATGGGGCTTTCCCAGGATTCTGCAAGGGTGCTATAAGGGTCTTGCAAGGTTCTATAAGGATTAGGGCTTAGGGAGGGTTTAGGGTTTAGGGTTGCTGGGCGGGTCCAAGGCCTAAGGCTTCCCATTCTTCGCCATCAGGCTGCGACACTCGTTGTGCACTTAGGCCTAAACTCTCCAAACCCTAAGCCCCTAAACCCCAAACCCCATAAGCACTAAACCCCAGAAGCCTAAACCCCATAAGCTCTAAACACCTAACCCCGGCCCTACCCCCCGAAACTCTGAATCCCTGATTGGAAGGCTCAGCCAGCAAGAGCGCTTGTCCTGCCAACGGTAGGTTAAGAAATCGGATACGAACCGTAACGCTCTGCGTAACCCTAAACCCTCAACCGCAATGGTAACAGCAAACAAAGAGGAAAAGCAGCAGGAGTAGTGTGACATCAGGACGACAACGTCCACTGTGTGGCCATCAAGGGCACCTTCGACGACTGCCAGGACATCGTCAAGGAGATGCCTTTGGCTAGTCTGCTTCAAGCCGCTTTCAGCATTCTGCATTTATTACTCCATGATCGCTGACTTTGCTGCTTAGAGTTCAGGGACAGTGACAATGTGTTGGGGGCAGGGTGCGGATATTCCCGCTCAAGCTCTCTCAGATCTCAGAGCCTTGCAGCAGGCATGGATTAAAAGCAGCATCCCTCCCCTTGTTACATGGGTAGTTGTCAAAATTAGGGCCCCTTTTGGGGTACGTACCCCAAATAATAGGTGCCGTATTATAATAAGGACCCAAAAAGGACCTTAATTTTGACAACCACCCACATGACCGTAAACCCTAAACCCCTAAGCCCTAAACCCTAAACCCTAAACCCCTCAACCCTAAAACCTACAACCGTAAACCCTAAACCGAATCAGGATCTCCTTGGTTGCGAACCTGTATGTGATTGAACTGAACTGCAAACCCGAAGTCGCAAAACCTGAAACTTTCGAATCCTTCCTGTCGAAGTGCACCTTCGTTTTAGGGTTAGGGTTCAGGGTTTAGGGTTCAGTGTTTAGGGTTTTAGGATTTAGGGTTCAGGGTTTCGGGTTTAGGTTTTAGTGGCTTCACCTTCAGTTGCGTAGTATAGGAGCCCAAATCATTACCAATACTACTTTGGGGGTTCTTCTTTATAGTTATAGTATAATGGGCCCCATAATTATTAAGGCCCCTACATTAGTGTGGCTTCCAGGCTCTCGCTTCGACAGGAGACTAAAGATTTGGACATGGGTAGTTCTCTAAACGAAGGTCCCTTTTTGGGTCCTTTTTATACGGGTGCCGTACTATCTCGGCCCAAACAGGGACCCTAATTTCGAAAACTACCCACATAGACGTGCACTACCGAAACCCATCCCGCCACAGGGAAATCTGACCGTAGAAAGCCTGTTATTTTCCGCAGGACACCACGCACGAACCCTGTAGTCCCAAGCCCCAAACCCTACCTCTAAACCCCTAACCCCTAAACCCTAAACCCTGAACCCTAAACCCTAAACCCTACTTACCTGTGTGCTTGAAACCTGCAGCTGACTGCATCTCAAGAAAAGGGTAAGCCATGGAAGAGGACGACGAGCCCCGGCTGCAGAATGTAGGGAGTCTGGATCACACCTCTGGTGGTCTAAACCTCCAGTATAAGTATCCCTCTATGCAGATACCCCTAAACCCTAAACCCTTAACGAGTACAAGCATCCCTCTATGCAGATACCCCTAAACCCTAAACCCTTAACGCTATAGTTGTTCTTGAGGCGCCTCTGGAAGGCTTAAGGCCTGAACCCTACCATACCCTGGGAGAAGGCATCGACATCCTAAACCTTTTCCCTAGGGTTAGCAAACCGAACGGTTTAGGGTTTAAGGGTTTAGGGTTTAGGTTTTAGGGTTTAGGGTTTAGGGTTGCTTGCGATTTTATGACCACACGGTGCTTCAAAGAAGAAGGTTCTGGGGTATAGTGTTATAGCAGTACAGGGTTTGTCCCTGTACCCTAAGCCCTAGCCCCAAACCCTGCATTGGAATGCAAGTAGTACCTCTTCAGGCTTCAAAAGGTAAGCGACAGAACTTGGTCATATAGAAGCCGAAATATTTCCTCCGCTATATTGTGTGATATAGTTATACAAGATCTAGCCAAAACATCCTGTACTAATTAACAAGGCCCCTATGTTATGCCGGTTTTGGGTGAGAAGCCTTGTGAAAGACAGAGAGACAGAGAGAGCGAGAGAGACCACTGCTGCACACACCAACAACTACGAGTAATATAGACAGACGCATAAGTTAAAAAGAAGATAGATAGGTAGATAGATAGAGGGACAGACAGATAGATAGATACATGAATCTGTAGACACCCAGAGGCCACAACACAACAACGGGGACAATAATCTGAAGATGCCGAGTGAGACCCTAACCCCTTCACCCTAAACCTTAAGCCCTAAACCCTAAACCCTTAAACCCTAAACCTTAAACCCTCAACCGTAAGCCCAAAAGCCTGCAGCCTCAGCTCTGGGGAGCTTCAGCATTTTTGTAGACTCCCACGACAGATCGTTTAGTCCCTCTAGGGTTTAGGATTTAGGATTTAGGGTTTAGGTGTCTGTTCTTTTCCTAGTGTGAATTCAAAGCCGAATCCCCTGGAAGTGAGGGTGAAAGGTTCAAAATGAGGGCTTAAATCACTATTCTTAGGGGGCTCCTTGTGATAAGTATAGTGAAAATACACCCAAACCCTATGCTAATCATAATCAGCCCTAAACCCTAAACCCTAAACCCTAAACCTATGAGTAAGGCCGCTACACGAGAGCTGTGGGGCTTTAGACAAAGCCGTGACTCCCGAGGACCCTTTATGGCGAAGAGAGGCTGTGGTCAAGCCGAAGTCTCTGAACGAGGACCCCTTTAATGCATCCTGGCAGCTTTGAGCCCTCGAGCCCAAACTCGTAGAATCCCATACTTTTTTGTAGGTTCTTATTATAAACCCTAATATGGGATTTATAGGGACCCTACAAAAATGTAGGTTTGGGGTTCTTAAGGTACTTATTGTAGAATCTCAGGCCCTAACGCCTGAATTCCCGAAAACTGAACCGCAGACTCTAAGACCATTCTAAGCACTGAGCTAGCTTGCATCATTTTTTCGGGTTGCCCAGCAAGGAAAACCCTAAACCCCAAAACCCCAAGCCGCAAATGCAAAATGTTGCAGGGATTCGAAAAGATGTCGTGGGTCACCGAACGAACGCAGCTTGTGGGGGTGTGTTGGAGTAGGGCTTAGGTTTCAGCTTTGCCAGCGGACGGTGCTGCTCCGCTGCTTTTCAGGAATTGGGCACTTCTGTCACATGGGCATATCAACTTGCAAGATTTAGGCGGTGCTGATCCTGAAACCCTAAACCCTACACCCTAGACCCCATAATCCCAAGACCAAAGGTCTGCGCTAAAGCTGCGAAACCAGTTTTGTGTCTGGAAGGAGCCATGCAAGCGAAAGCTTACTGGCCCTTCGAGCCCAGAACCCCCAAACCTGGGTTTGGGGAGACCCACGAAATCCTACCACCTAGCACCCCCAGCCAAAACCTTAAACCCCTAAACCCTAAACCTGCCCTAAACCCCTAAACCGTGAACCCTGAACCCTGAACCCTGCCCTAAACTCCTAAACCCTAAACCCTGAAGCCTGAACCCTAAGCTGCCCTGAACCTTAAACACCTTAGCAGACCCTTGAACTGCCAAGGTTCTCGCAGAGGAACAGGCCGTGGAGGCCTGCAAGATGGGTTTCGAGGTAGCCACCGAACTCATGGAGACTGCCCCTTGCCTTAATATGGCCTCATGGTTTAGGGTTTAGGGTTTAGGGTTTGAGGTTTAGGGTTTAAGGCTTAATATAGGGGCCTCAATCATTACCTATATGGGAGTTTCCGAAAATTAGGAGTACCTTATTTTGGGGTCCTGATAATAAGGATCCTACTATTTAGGGTACTCTTTTAGGGTCCCCTATTTTCGGAAACCCCCCTCAATCATTACCTGTATTGTTTTCGGGTTCCTTATTATAGTCATGGTAATAATATACACCGAAGCCCTCTTCTAACTATTAAGGCCTCTTGGCTTAGCTCAGTTCACGGTTTGGTGAGGGGAGTTTCTGGCTTTCGTGCTTCTTTCAAAAGGCCGACGTAGCCGAAGTCGCCGTTATTGTGGAAACCAAGCATTGTTAGCACCTTGACAATCCTTATCATGAGTGTCTTAGGGCTTTAGGAGGGACCCCTAATAGGGACCCTTAATCCCATTACCTTAAATAACCATTGTATAGTCCTTATATACCCACCCTAAACCCTAAACCCTAAACCCTAAACCCTAACCCCTTATATAGCCAGGTAGTCTCCATATGAACCCCAATAACCTACAAGAGTCCCCACTAAGGGTCCCTCCTAAAGCCCTTACAGAGTGCATCATTTTTTTTTACTGTCATCATGATCATTAAGGTTTAGGGTTTAGGGTTTAGGGTTTAGGGTTTAGGGTTTAGGGTTTAATAGCAGTGTTGATTGGTGTTGTCATTGTCATTGTTGTCATTAGTGTTACTCGTGTTTATGGTAATCCATATCGTTATCTGTTTGACACCACTACCCATAGGCCCTAAAGTAGTTCCTTTTTGGGGTTCATCTATAGAATCCTCTACCCTAAACCCTAAACCCCAAACCCTAAACCCTAAAAGAATCCTATAAGGTAGTCCCAAAAAGGAACTACTGTGGGGCCCATGGGTATCACCATCATCACCATCAGAGCTGACCATGAGCACCATTGCCATTGGAGTGCCTAGTATTGCTGCGAGTGGTTTAGGGTTTAGGGTTTAGGGTTTAGGGCTTTAGGGTTTTAGGGTTTAGGGTTTAGGGTTTTAGGGTTTTAGGGTTTTAGGGTTTTAGGGTTTTAGGTTTGCTGCTTGAGGTATTGTTGCGACCGTTAAAAACCCTACAAAGCCTTATGAAACCCACAGCCCTAGGCCTGCTGAGTCCTGTGTCTACATGGTCCTGTCTTTGCCATGCCCTCACCCGCAAACCTAAACGCTCTCAACATTGAGCTGAGCCACAAAGCCCTTACGCCTGCAACCTGCAACCATGAGCCCCAAGCGCAAATCCTAAACCCTACTCGATAGCTGTTTGGGCTTCCGAGGCTAAATCCACTCTAAAACCCCGAGCCTCTGTATGGAACCGTACAGAGCGCTTATACGAAGCTGATAAAGGCCTATAGACCCCAACAAGCCCCCAATAAAAATCCGAAGCTCCGGTAAACGCTTAACCCCATGACCCGACAAGCCATGATCTTATAACCCCATAGCGCTAAACCCTATAACCCATAACCCGAAACCCCAAACCTTATATGACTAAGAACTCTAACCCAAAACCCCAAACCTTGTAACTTAACTTGCCATCCTATAACCCTAAACTCCTTAATACCCTAAGCCTTTTTTCGCCCAAAAAACCCCGAATCGAAACGGCGTGACTGAGGACTTGGTCTTTAGCTCCTGCGGAAGCCTTGTGAAAGGCACACCCGATGGTGGCTTTGTGGACACCGACGGTCTCTTGAGGCCGCGCGTGTGGCTCTTTACTTTTACGGTTTAGGGTTTAGGGCCGACGGTCTCTTGAGGCCGCGTATATGGTTCTTTACTTTTGCGGTTTAGGGGGTGTCGGGTGCTGGATTTATTTGGTTTTAAAGGTTCAACTAGGTCTGCCAGTCTACCTATGGTCCGTTGTTTGCCAGCCTCCCTTTGGTCCGTTGTTTGTCAACATGCTGCAAGCATACTGCTCTCCTCAACCCATCCTTTGGGGGAATGGATTGGCTCCCCGTCCACACCGTTGGAGCGGATTCTCTCCCAATCCCCTCCTCTTCGATGGTTTGTGGTACTGGTCCACGGTCGTTCCGTCCAGTGTTGATCTTACGAGTTACTTCCCGCAACTTGAGTTGTCATACTGGGCGGGGGGATTAGGGGGGCAGAACACACTGTGCCCAACCATACTATATGCAAGCTAGATTAGGTAGAGAGATAGATAGACAGACAGACAGAAAGGTAGATGACTAGCTAGCTAGATAGACAGAAAGAAAGATAAATAGACAGAATAGATAGATTAAAGATAGATTCGATAGATAGGTAGGTAGAAAATAGATCGGTAGATAGATAGATAGATAGATAGATAGATAGATAGATAGACAGATGGGTAGTTAGATAGTTAGATAGATGATAGACTGATAGATAGATAGATAGATAGATAGATAGGCAGTTAGATAGACAGATAGATGCAGATAGATAGACAGACAGACAGACAGATAGAAAGAAAGATACAGAGGGTTCACAGGGTCGAGGATATGGGGTTTAAACGTGGTTTCGGGCGCAAGGTTTGAGCGCCACTCGTTCCAGCTATATAGTGAACATTGGGGCTTCCTCCTCATGGTAGCCCTAAACCCTAAACTCTAAACTTTACTCTAAACCATAATAGGGATCTATAGTGAACATTGGGGCTTCCTCCTTATGGTAGTTTGAACTAAACTCCAGGGGAGCCAGGACGACCACTTCGAGTGGCTGCCTGTTTGTCCTTCGTCGACATCCCAAGCCTTGCGAGTCAAATTACGGTTTAGGGTTTAGGGTGTAGGGTTTAGGGTTTATTTGTGTTTACGGACTCGATTCCCCGTACGATACTAGTGCCGTGCCCCGGATATGACACAACATGGTTATCTGTGTTGAGTAATCTGCAGTCCTGGAGGTTGAGGTATGTCAAATCCGGGCTTCTATGGTGTAGGGAGCTGGATTGAGCATTTGGGCTTGAATCTGTCGTAATATAGTCTTCCGCTATGGCCCCTATATCATTGTAACGGCTATGCTGGAACATACCCCCCCCCCCCACAAATTCCCTTCGAATTGTGAAGGACACTGTACTAGGCTCTAGCAAATCACTGCCCGGAGGTTAGTTCAGGTGGTGCGAGTGCCCCTCTTACCGGACATGGACGAAGATGAGGCGCGACCCGAACAACCGAAGCCCTAAACCCTTCAAGCTAAACCTCGCAACTCAAACCCTTAACCCCAAACCCTTCAATGAGAAAACCTTGAACTGTAGCGAGGCTTTGAATTAATTAAATTTGATCCACTCGAAACTTCGGCAGCCCTTAACCGCGGGAAACGATGTAAAGCAGACCAGACCTAGCCCTAAACCCTAAACCCGAATGACCCAAGTAAGTAGGAGTGGAGCTTTGCTGTTGAGGGCCCTGCCCATAGGCCCCATAGTAGTTCCTTGTTGGAATTACCTTATAGGATTCTAAATATGAACCCCCAAAAGGAACTGCTATGGGGCCCATGGGCAAGCCCTAGATCCTTTTCAGGATTTCTAGCACATCCGGCTAGGGCTTTAGGTGTCTAGGGCTCTAGGGATTTATGGTGTCAGGAGGAGTGTTTCGGGTTCAAGGTTTAGGGTAGTCCAGGGTTTAGGATTTTGGAATTTGGGGTTTAGGGCTTGTGCGCGTAGTTGCAAGTCTCAGGGTGGAGGCTTGCAGGTCGGTTCCTAACCACAACCCTAGCGTGTACCCCCATAGGCCCTAAAGTAGTTCCTTTTTGTGGTTCATATATAGAATCCTATAAGGTAACCCCAAAAAAGGGACTACTATGGGGCCCATGCGTAGATGCTACACCCAGGAGTCTAAGCCGTAAAGCTAGATCAGGTCCGTCGAGTCCGTGCATCCCGTCAGGTTGCGGATGTGCTTTTCGACACTGTGCTGCTCGGATCCATTTTCTGAGGAACGGAAAGGGTAGTTCTCTAAATAAGGGTCCCTTCTGGGGTCCTTTCTATAAGGGTGCTGTACTATAGTGGGGACCAGAAAAAGGGACGCTAATTTAGAGAACTACCCAAAAGTTGACGATTCGGGATCAAGTCCACTTGGCAGATTCTTGCAGGGGCCTCCACCTTAAGTAGATCTTGTTTGGGGCATTGCTGCAGCAGCCGAGGCTTGCAAAGGTGGTGAAGTCGCAGACATGGATGAAGGAGCGCACGTATGCCGAAACTCAGGGGCATGCATGCCCACGAGCCTTGCCGGTAGGACGATTGTGGCCCTTTTGTTTGCATTTGGCATGTATTGTTCCTGATGTGGACATGTGACTTTCGGATTCTATGTGGCGCACATGGAAGAGCTCATTAAGAATGAATCGTTTATTGCACATCAACCCAGACGTTCACCCCGAGTACGTAGGTCAGGTACATAGGACAGGGAGCTAGGCAGGCAGGCAGGCAGGCAAGTAGGCATATAAATAAATAAATATACATATATATATATATATACATACATATGTCTGTAAACACAAAACCCTCAACCCTAAACCCTCAACCCTAAACCCTAAGCCCTAAACAATTAAAACCAAAACCCTCAACCCTCAACCCTATACCCTAAACGCCAAGTGTTGCCTCACCTTGTCGTCAGGAGACTGGCACTTTGCCCCATGTGCGGGCCCTAAGCCGACGACGCACAGTTTAGGGATTAGGGGTTCAGGGTTTTGGGTTTGGGGTTAGGGTTTAGGGATTAGGGTTTTGGGTTTGGGGTTTAGGGGTTTGGGGTTTAGGGTGCTAGATTCCTGATCCACTCTCTCGCCTTTACTCTGACATTAGATTGCTAGAGGCTGTCTGTATATTTCGATTTCCGAAGCCCTTATCCGTAGATTCCAAGCCCTAAACCCCTAATCCGTGAATCCGAAAATCCCTAAGCCCTATAAACCCTCATTTTCCCACCCAGTCGGTCTGGGATCGAGCCTTCAACTGCCTGGAATTCCAAAGTAGAGCATTGCGAGTTTGGGTTTTTCCGTTTACCTATAGTCTCCATTGTAGTTCCTTTTTTTTGGTTTAACCCAATATATCTTTAGGATCCCATAAGGCAACCCCAAAAAAAAACTACAACGGAGACGAAAGGTAGAGTATGGGATTTAAATTTAGGGTTGGAGGCTCCGGATCGGTGATTTATTGTTGAGGGTTTAGGGTTTAGGGTTAAATTCCGCTTGACGGTGAAGAGATTCCGGATCTTTCTGAGCTACGAACCCTCAAGCGGAGCCTTAAGTCCTAAATCCTAAACAGCATGCGGAACCCCAAATCTCAAAGCCCTACACCCCAACAACATGCAAACTCTAATGGGATTGGGGCAAGCAGCCACACCAACTTCACGTCACCACTGTATGACGCATATAGGGACTTCATATGGCTTTCTGTGAGGGTTCTGATAGGGGTTGAGGCAGGCACACATGCACAACGAAAAATCACGAAGCTCGAAGTTGTCGATGTGAATGTAAACCTTTAGACTTGAACATCCTAAGCTTAAACCAGAACCCAAACCCTGAACCCTAAACATTCCAGAGCACATAAGCAGAACCTACTAGAGTCTCGGAATCCTCAAACTTGCAACACTTTGAGGGTGCTTGGGTTCGATGTCCTGCAATGGACGGCATATGGTGGAGAGTTTGCATGCAGTGGTTTCTCATGTGTGTCCACGGTGTTTGTTGTGAGGCGCTGAGGATTGAGACGCCCAGTGCTATAAGTAGTAGAGTTTCGGATCTGAAGGGGGTTTGGTCAGTGTGCTTACGAAAAAACTTAGGGCTTCGCGCAGAGCGCTCATTGAGGGGTCCCTGTTTCAGCTGAGGAGTTCATCATCTTCTGCTGGCTTCCCCCCGTCGGAGCCTACCAGGCAAGGCTAATGGAGGGGGACCTGATCAATTAACTAATTAGTAATGACAGCCCTGTTCTAAGCATTATAATCCCTAAATTAGCCCTGCATTGCCTTGATGACCAAGCGACTACCAAGATTTCTCTGTTCTGCTTACTGTGGTTATCAAGTGCTGCGATACTTACCATTATACTGGTGCTGCAGCGTAGTGTGTGCTATGTCATCAGTGTTTGCAACTCTACTTACCTAGTCATTATCATTCATTCACCATCGTCGAAATAGTACCTTCTCTAAACCCTAAACCCTAAACCGGGTGTCGTTGTTGGTATTGCTGCTAGTATGATCTTCAGCAGGAGGAGGAAGCCAGACCAGAGGAGGACCTGACAAGTCAGAGACAACATAAGCTAGGGGCGTAACATAGTGCCCGATACTATTTTAAGGGGGGTTCCTTGTTGGAATCATGGTATAAGGGGCCCCCAAACCCTATTCTAATTAATTAAGGCCCCTATACCAAGCCGTAAAGGCCTGAAGAGTGTGCATTGAAGGGCTCGGTCCTTCTGAAGAATGCAACCTTTGGGTTCCCGTGATGTCAGGGCGCATGCAGAAAACTCGTGGCCAAGCCATCAACCATGGTGCTGAACAATTGCAATATTCCACCAGTCCGGGCTGGAGAAAAGCAGGGCTGGTGCATATGCAGGGAAGGAGGACGGTCTCATCTAGGAGGACACAGGATAGTGTTCCTTCGGCTAGTAGAGTCTCGCCCAGAACCCTATATTCCGATATTACAAGCTCCTTTAAGTGAGCAGCACGGCAAGGCGGCCCGACTATCTCGCGACAAGGGATCGACTACTGGGGCTTCATATGGTGGTTTCTGAAAATAGGGGACCCCAATAGAGTACCCTAAATAGTAGGATCCCTATTATAGGGACCCCGAAATAAGGTACCCCTTATTTTCGGAAACTCCCATATGTGACACTGCTTCCATCATGATTTCCAAAGCTGCAACACCGTCACACTCACAACCAGCATGAATTGACGAGGCTTGCCTGACCGAAACAGACGCCCTCTTATGGACGGCGCCATGGCTAGTACTCCGTTTCGCCCGAATCGGCCCTTCTTGGGGTTAACTTGTGGGTTCTTGGGTGTACAAGATCCCACGCACGATTCAGCTCATCAGCATCGCATCCAGACCTCCCAAGCCCGAGTTGTTGCATTTTTCATGTTCCGCATAATGTTCGACTATTTTCATATTCCTTACATCTATGCAGTATACATTAGACACTAATAAAACGGTCATTCCATATTCCTCATACGAGTGTGTCATTACCGTTCCTTTCATCTCCACGCCTTGGCAACTATCCGAAGGGGACGACATGGGCCCAGTGAAGGCCCCCGAGGCCCTGCAGGCCCCAAAGAAAAGCCTTCAACGCCCTAAACCCTATAAACCCTATAAACCCTAAACCCTAAACCCTAAACCCTAAACCCTAGACCCTAAACCCCAGACCCAAAGAAACGCCTTAGGGTTTAGGGTTTAGGGCTTACTTCAATGCCAAGGGCTCAGCGACTTGGGGTTTCTGGTTTTGGGCTTTGGGCTTATGGTTGACCTGGACCCCAAAGAACCGACTTCTTCAAGGACTTATATGGGTAGTTGTCAAAATTAAGGTCTCTTTTGGGGTACCCTAAATAATAGGTGCCGTATTATAATAAGGACCCAAAAAGGGACCATAATTTTGACAACCACCCATATCAAGAAACCTTAAGAACTCTAAACCCTATAGAACCCTAAACCCTATCAACCCTAAACCCTATGTAAAGACATCTTAATAGCTTCAAAAGTAAGGTTTTATACGGTCCAGGTAGCGTCTGCCCATAAAAGCAACACAGGGCCCTCAACCCTTCAAAGGGAGGCCAGAGGCTATGGATGACTATGGTAAACGAGACAGCTCAAGAAAGTCAGCTAAATGTAGAGGCCTCAAATGTCATAGGGGCATAATATTGTGTTCCTGAGGGTTCCTTCTATTATGACTATCGTCAAAACCGCTGCAACAAAGGAGCGCCGTCCTCTTCTGACAAAAAGCCCTCCGTACTGAATGGCGGAAGTCCCTATGACGCCCCATAAACTTTCTAAAGCCTCCAACTACCCCGTGACGAAACCCTTACCCTACAGAGAGGAAGGAAGATCCTAAACCCTACAAACCTAAACCCTAAACCCTAGAAGCCGTAAACCCCTAAACTCTTAACCCTCAAACCCCTAAACCCCTCAACCGAGGAAGCATTGATCTCCAACGTCCGGGCCGGTGGCTGGCCCTTCAGCCTTGTCGTGAAAGTTCCTGAGCAGCCCTGCCTGAGCCTCAAGGTCAGGGGTTATAGGGTTACAGGGTTACAGGGTT